AGAGAGAGAAAGAGAGGCAGAGCCAATAGAGAGAGGGAGACGGGAAGTGAGACAGAGAGAGATAAAAAAGGGAGATAGAATGAGAGAGAGAACGCACCTTTTCTTTCCTCGATTTACAACTGTTGTTGGAAACAATGGCCCCAGCGATTTGGTTGATGATCTCAAACCGCAATACGACGACGTGTGTCGCGACACGCGAAAAGGGAGGTGCCGACGTGTGAAAGGGCAAAACCGCGAATGGAGACGTGGGAGATTGCGACGCGAAGGAGATGGCGAGGCGAGGGATATGGCGACGAGGGCGAGAGAGAGAAGCGAAGCAACTGGCGGGGGAGACGGCCACGAGATGGCTGTGTCCCTCGGAGACGAGATGGCTGTGTCGCTGGGAAGGGCGGGTGGTCCGGGCGCGCGACGGGCATTTTCGGCCGTGAGGGTTGGCGACACCTGCGATTGCCTGCTGCTTCGGACGATTGCAATGCCCACCTGCAAATTCCCGGAATGGCGCCACCGTCATTCGAAAGGCGGATACATCCGAGCGGGGCCCAAGAAACGAAAGTGGGCGGGAAAAGCCACGCCGGATGACGCGTTGGTATCGTCGATATCACGGTAAAATCCGCGCGGGTCCCGATATTCAAAAGTGGGCGGGAAAATTTACGCCAGATGATGCGTTGGGACCGTCGATAGCACGGTGAAAAAAGGCCAGTCCTCTCGCAATCACGGCCCGCCCTCCCGCAACAGTTTCGGACCGTGCGATTTCGTGAGGAGGGTCCGTCAAAAAAGGGACCGCCTGATGTCACAGCCCCCGACGCGGCAGTACCTGCGGCGGGCAGCTGAAGGGCCCCTCAAGCCCCACTCACTGCACTCTCTGTTCTCCTGTCGAGCACCAAACGAATGGGGGTGGCTGTCACACCCGTTCGCTAGTGTCATGTCTTCCGTGTGCTGCCTTTGCGACGCGTTCGCCATCGCTCGAAGTCGCCTGCATCATATCGCAGGCCCCTTGCACATCCAGGCCATCGTTCTTCCAGCAATTATCGATAGCCGGGGGCGCTAACGAAAATGTCACGCGACTGTAGACCTTGCGCGTCGTCCCGTTCGCGCTGTGCGTTCTTGTGTTGGTTGGAGGCCTTTGTCAACTCGCAGGTCAGTAAGAAGCCGACGCCCCCTGCTCGACCCCTTCACCATTTCGAGCCCCCACCTCTTCCCATTGCCCTTCCTCTCCTTCGACCGTGCAGGTGTTGTTCTATGCCACCACCTGCTCCGCCAATCACGCGCGCACGATCTTGTCCGCACGACGCCCACCGATCACAACCACGGAAGACCCCATGCAGTGACACACGCTGACGTCATCATCTTGCACATTACGTCAGTGACGGGCAATGGCTTGCGGCTTTCACAGACATCGGCATCAAGTCTTGGCGTCCTCAACATCGCTTGTTTGCGTCCTCAACATCGTTTGTTGGCGTCCTCACCATCGCTTGTTGGCGTCCTCAACATCGCCCTCTAGTCTTGGCACCCTCCGTCGACCACATCTGACGCGTGGAGAAAGTCGCATCGCCCTCGAGTCTTGGCGTCCTCGACATCGCTTGTTGGCACACTTTCTTGGACCCTGGCTCGAGGGTCGTCCTCCCCCAGTCTACTTAGGATATCGCAATGCAGTCGGTCGTGCGAGTATTCTTCTACATCACCGCCTGCTCCGTCTATCACGCACGAGTCAACATGCGCGCGATCTTCAGTCCACGATGTCCGCAGCTCACAACCACGAAAGTTCCCTTTCTTTGACACACGTTGACGTCACCATCTTGTGCATGACGTCTGGAATTCGAAATGGTCTGCGGCTTTCCCAGTCTAGATCGTCGGACGCCTCCAACGACCGCATCTGACGCGTGGACGAAGTTTCATCGTCGTTGCTACCTGGCGTCCTCAAAATCGCGGTATGTGATCACCGGATTCACCGATGCGATAACACATCACCCGATAGACGTCAACACCGGAGACGTCATCTGAAAAACGCGTGTCCATCGACTTTAAGACCCCGTCCATCCATCTCCGGTGTTGACGTCTATCGGACAATCTGTTATCACAGCGCTGATAGCTGGAAGCCTCACGACAAACGCGCACCTCCAACAGGAATCGCCCATGTCGCACTGACAGCCAACTGTGGCCAAGCCACCCATCCACAACGTTCAGCACAAAGGATACCCATCGCGAATCCGAAACATCCCAGATTACCTCCGATCCCGCGACATCCCACCGCCAAGTGCCAACTTCGAGTTTCCGATCGACTCGGTGATTGAACATGTCTATCGCGGTTGTGGACGACATCAGGATCTTTTTCTTGTTGTCTTGAATGTTCCTTGTCTCATCGCCCGCTCTCGCACACGCAGCTAGCAATGAGGAACCGCCACGCAATCGGGTGCGAGACGCCGGACACGCATCGGCAACATTTTGGATATGGAACCAGCGCTCACAAATTTCATCGCGCCCACAGGAAAACTTCACAGCACCGCCGCCCGTGCGGCAGCCCGTCCCCTCGCCACGATTCATTTTGGGCAAACTCTGACGTGGACAATCCTCCCGTCGTTTGAAGTCTCGAAATCTGAGCTGAATGAACGCATAATGACCTCGTGAAACGATCAGCCCTCGATCCACACCGATCACATTTCGATTCCAATTAATCGCAGCCTTGTTTTCCAGAGCAGCTTAGGGAGGCGTTCTCGGGATTGCAGTGGGAGTGAGAGAGTGTTGTTCGTGCCACTTGTTCCAGGAGGAGTTCGGATTCATCCGATCTCGGGATGAAGGCAAAAGTAGATGTCATTTGCGATGCAAGTGGTTGGATGACTATGCCCCCCTTACATCCGACCCATTGTTTACACACAACATTCCCCCATCGAGAGTTTTGAGGCGACCCCCTTTCCATGACAACCCGCCACTCATGACTTCCGCCGATGTTCTTTGTCTCCCACGAGGGGTTATGCAATTCTCAGGCTGAACGTTTTTTGTTTCACCTCACTACAGAACGTGTGATGTAGTTCGGATGAATCCGAACCACAACCCTCGGCTCGTGAGAAGTCTCAACGAGAACCGCATCCCTCCGATGTCTCAGTGGAAGGGACAATGACGGCACAGGGGATCACTTTCGAAGTAAACATCTCCTGAAATCATGAGTACGATAGCTCCCCATCTGCTTTTGCCTTCGTTTGTAGCTCGGATGAATCTGAACCACCACCACAGACGACTGACGGACGACAGTCGTGGCTTTTGTCAGTGTTTGTTTATTCCGCATTGGGCTGTACAATACTCACACAGGACTGGACGTTTTTTGTTTCGCCTCACCATGGAACGTGTGATGTAGTTCGGATGAATCCGAACCACAACCCTCGGCTCGTGGGAAGTCTCAACGGGAACCGCATCCCTCCGATGTCTCAGTGGAAGGGACAACGACGGCACAGGGGATCGCTTCGAAGTAAACATCTCCAGAAATCATGACTCTGATAGCTCCCCATCTGCTTTTGCCTTCGTTTGTAGCTCAGATGAATCCGAACCACAACCACAGACGACTGACGGACGACAGTCGTGGCTTTTGTCAGTGTTTATTTATTCCGCATTGGGTTGTGCAATACTCACACATGACTTATAAGTTCGGCGTCACTCCTAAACGTGTGATATAGTTCGGATCAATCCGAACCACATCCCTCACCGCATCGGGAGTCCCGAGGTGAGTATCACGCCCAGTGACGGGAGGTCTCATCGGGAAAGGAAAACAGCGGCACACGCCACGCATCCTGAATGCAACATACAATAATCTATGGTGGGCACTCATGGCATTCGTTGTTTATTTGTCCTTCCGAGAGGCGAAATGTGAACATTTTGAAGGACGTCTGGGTACCGCCTGACTGAAACCGTTTGCTGTGGTCCGAATAATTAATCCGAACCTCATAGCTCGACGACGATTGAGTCTGATTTATCTGCCACTCTTGGCTTTTGTCTTTTTGCACATGGGGCAGTAAGGCAAACATCGCAAACGACGTGTTGGGGTGTCTCGTCCTTCTGCCACATCCCTCCGAGTGAAGCGAGGTCGCTGGGCGGTGGCTCGGATTAATCCAAGCCACGGATGGTCGCACGACATCCCATTTAATGTCTATCTTTCCTGGGCGGTTGGTCGGATTGATCCGAACCACGGATTGGTGGGCATGGATGAGCTTCTGTCTAGGACTTCTGTTGGCTGGTGGCTCTGATTGGTCCGAACCTCGGATCCGGGGCGGTGCGGTTGGCTTGGATGAGCGTCTGTCTTGCACTTCTGTTCAGCTCGTATTCAGAATGCCCGTGGTAGGTAGAGTGTGTGTTTTCATGGCTCTGCGAAAAGTACCTGTCATGTCGACTGTGCGAAAACGTCTTCTGTAGATAAGGTGGTGTAATGTGGCTGTCCGGCGTCGGTGTGCTGTTCCGTTCGACGAGGGCCGTCCCACTGTTCTGTCCGTGTCAACGTGCTTTACGGCGTGGGTTTTGATAATTTTTTGAAATCCCGCATCTGCTCTGGAACGGGTCCCTGCGTAGCTTTTAGAAAACACTCAATTGTCTTGGTGAACTTCTGATTGGTGACCTTCTGTAAGGGCTTTGCAATGCGACGTGGAAAGATATTTTTTTTGGACGTTTCCGATTGACGGCCTTCTGTAAGGGCTTCGCCGACAAAAAAGTGTAGGGCGTTACAGCTGGGTGTGGGCGTCGTCGGGGAAATTATCGTTCACCGATATTGTTTACGACCGTCGCCTCTTGCGTATGTCTATCCATGTGTTCGTGTTGTGTAGGGAGTTTAATGTCGTCGAGTCCTTCGACAAGCATCACCATGACACCCGAGAGGCACATGCGCTTAGCGAAACCCTTTCCACCTTGTGCGAGATCGTTGCGGCATCATGACGGTCAAACGTGGATCGACGACGCACCCGATGACGAATTCGAGGACGACCCATGGACGACTTCGAGGATGACCCATGGACGACCGTCGCCCCTTACATGAACCGGCATCTCGACGAATGGAACGAAAATGACTGGAAGGCGATGGAGCGTTCCTGCCCATGGGCAAGCCATTACAAGTTTGCCAACATGTTGGAGTTCGGGAGCCTCATTGCACTGCCTGCTGGTGTCCTCCATCGAAAGACCCTGGACGATAAGGGTAAACCGGTCCGCTTCCGTACCATCTTCAGACGTCGCCTCCACTGCGAGTATATCACATCTTCGCCACGAACTTGGGGAAGTTCGCAGAAGCAAGAGTTGGTGGACTGCGGTCGTCATTGTTCATTCTTGGAACACTACCCACCCCGTTGCCCGGGGACTTCTCCACAAGCTCTGTCGTACTGTTGTGTGCGCTTGACGGATGATGGATGTCCTTTCGCCAGAGTGCTTTGTGTGGCTTCTTCAAGCAAAAGCGGGAAACTTGTGGATGCAGTCGTGCTTGTGTCACACAATGAGATGGTGCTTCGGGGATCCAGGTTCAAGGCGGTCATGTCTCGCCCCGATGTAGATGGGCGATCAGATTTGGTGAGAGCAGGTCAGGTAAGAGTTTTATTGTCATTGTGGGATGACGTGGAAAAGAAAGTGTCTGAAATACGTGACTGTATAGGGAATTCCTTAGCACGACGAGGAGGGTTTGTCAGGATGAAATACATGTCAGTGTTTTCGGAGACGGCAACAGTCGACGAGCCGCAGATCCATGTGTATGGATCATCTATGAATGCTATGTATGGCTTCCGTTCACGACCTCGTCCACGGGAACCCCCGTATGTCACAAGATACGGACGTGTGGTCAGACCTTGTGTTTAAGGGAAAAGGAGACTCCCTCGTGACGACTAAAGTTGACACCTGCGTTGTTGCATTTGAACTTGTGAAGGTGATGTTCTATAAGTGCTTCGGATTCATCCGAATCATCAATCTGATACGTGCGGATGCATCCAACGTTGAAGGCGATGCGTATAGACTTCCCCAAGGAAGATCCTCGGCCAAACAACAACCTGTCGAATTCTGTATGTGCGACTCGATAACTGCAGACCATCGAGTTTATGTTCTTGCACGCCTTCGAGGCAAACGACGCTTCCAAACAGTCCGCCGCCCTCTAGATCGTCTGGTGCTGCCATAAAATGTGGTGCCCGTGTCCGAGGCCCTCTGTGCAATAGTCGCTGCATGGCAGAAAATGACGTGAGTGGCAACGGCCGAGGCTGTAATCATGCATGTCCACCAGAACATCTTCTGTCTCGGATTCATCCAAAGTCCCCGGCTGCACAAGCGTTTTCATTCTCATCCCCACAAAAGTCGTCTGTTACCCTGGACACCCGCTGAAAGAAACTCCTCTTTGCGTCAATACGCTTCATATGGGCCGATGATAAGCAGCCGCGCAGAATGCATAGCACGTCCCGATTGCGAAATCGTCGGGTCTTTTTCTCGCGACGACGAAGGCTCGTGATCACCCCCGGCGACGGCGACGATGGTTTTTGGATTGGATGCCATGAAATGTGGTGCCATGTCCGTAGCCCTCTGTGCAACAGCCGCTGCCAGGTTGAAAGTGACTGAGCGACGCTGGCCGATGCTGCAATCGACCTTGTCCGGCATGTCATCTTGTGTCTCGGATCCATCCGAAGTTTGGGCCCTCTGGAGCTTGTTCCTTCTCATCACCGAACGTTCAGCACCTGCACAGAACACAAAAAAACTTCCCGATTGGAACATCGCGGGGTCATCGAGTTGTCGACTCCCACATGATGATTACCGTGAACAGCGGCATGATGGCAGGTTCGCCTCTCCGATGTGGGTCTAACGGTGGATTGCGTCAAATCTGCTCTCAAAGATCTACACCGGAGAGGGGGGCCAGCAATCGACCACTGCTTGCTTGTAAAACATCATATGATGTGTCGATACAACCGACATTCAGAACTGGTCGGTGAGCATCTGGTGCTACGCCGAAAAGTTCGTCAGGCGGCCTCAATATTGCCCCGCGATTACTCATTTTGGGGTTCTCGCGTCATAGACTCCCTTATGATGACTACAGTTAACAGCGGCGGGGTAGCAGGTCCTCTTCTCCGATATGGATCTCACGGTGGAGTGCGAAACTCTGCTCTCAAAGATCCACACCGGGAAAGGGGGCTAACTATCAACCACTGCTTGCTTGTAAAATATTATATGATGTGTCGACACAACCGACATTCAGAACTGGACGGTGAGCATCTGGTGCTACGCCGGAAAGTTCATCATGCGGCCGCGATATTCCCCCGTAATTGCTCATTTTTGGTTTCTCGCTTCATAGACTCCCTTATGATGACTACACTTAACAGCGCCAGAGTAGCAGGTACCCTTCTCCGATATGGATCTCATGGTGGAGTGCGAAACTCTGCTCTCAAAGATCCAGACCAAGAAAGGGGGCCAGCTATCAACCACTGCTTGCTTGTAAAACATCATATGATGTGTCGATACAACCGACATTCAAAACTGGTCGGTGAGCATCTGGTGCTTTGCCAAAAAGTTCGTCATGCGGCCGCGATATTCCTCCGCAATTGCTCATTTTTGGGTTCCCGCGCCATAGACTCCCTTATCATGACTAAACTTAACAGCGGCAGGGTAGCAGGTCCCCTTCTCCGATATGGATCTCACGGTGGAGTGCGAAACTCTGCTCTCAAAGATCCACACCGGTAAAGGGGGCCAGCTATCAACCACTGCTTGATCTTAAGGCATCATATGATCTGTCCATTACATCGGCGTTCGAAACTGTTTGGTGAGCATCTGGTGCTACGCCAACAAGTTCCGAACAAGACCGCGAGGTTCCCTAAGAGTGCTTTTGCCACCCCACATCACAGACCGCCGACTGTTTGGCACTGCAGGAAGGTTGTCAATTTCTTACGACGCGGAAGACTCGTGATCACTTCCGTCGTCTGTATGCGTGCTGATGGTGCTCGGCATTGCATACTTGACGCACTGGTGGTGTATGCTGCAATTGTCTAAATCTGGATTTAAGTGTCTCGGATGCATCCGATATAGGAACCTGCGATGATGCGGACTTGCCAATATTTACCTGCATCATTGTATCGGATTCATCCGAGTCTAAAATCAGTTACATATTTGCGCACCCGCAATTTCTACAGCATGTCTAGTCGGTGACGGGCAAGGCTTGTAGTCCGGTTCAAGGCTGGTTGTGCACTTCTAATGTCAAGTCCGATATTTGTCTGCGTCGTTGCGTCGGATTCATCCCAATCTAAAGTATGTTACATACTTGCGGGACGCCATTTCTATGCCATATATGTGAAATCGGTGAGGGTGAAGGCTTGTCGTCCCGTTCAAGGCTAACTATGCATTGTCTTTTTGTTTCGTTGCGCTGCTGTAGTGCTCCCCAACTGGCAGACGCATCTCTGTCGCTTTATCATTGCCAAAGTCCAACAACTGTCTCGGCTGCGATTTGGGTTAACGTCTGTTGCTCTGCTCGCAGGGAAAAGTGAAATGCTTCACTGGTGTGATACGACGACGGTCGATCAAGACTTCCCTCCCACGCCAGCTTGCCTTCCGTTACGTTTTCGGCAGGAATTGGCTGGGAAGGGATTGGTTATGGGCATTGGAGTTTCGAGCAGTGCCGATAGTACTTCCCGACTCGAGCCATGTGCTTCCTCTGGAAAACGGTCACGTGACTCAAACACTCAGCATCGACGGAAGAGAACACAGTTGTCCACCTCCACCGAGCATTCGTACATCTGTCGTGACGTGCTCGAATACCACAAAAACACTGGAAGCGGGGGCCAATTTCTTAGTGTCGATTGTACATCCAGAGTCTCTTCAACATGTTCTGAAATAACCGACGCTGGGATGTCGAGCTCCATACCCGAGGGGAATCTCGGTGACTGTAGTTATAGTGGGACGGAGTACGTGTATAGTGCGAACAATTGAACTACTGCTGGTTCTTCCTAGGGAGTTGTCGATGGGGGTGATAGGGTTTCCTCGTCTACCCCTCCGCGGTGACAGGAGAGTCAAGGACCGTCCACGGATGAAATTACTGAATATTGCTATTCACGAGACAGTCAGAGCTTGTGCTGTCTCTCCGAAGAGGACCGCCACATACGGTACATTTTGTCGGCGCCTATGCCCGGTGAAAGAAGACCCTATTCTATGGCAAACAGAGAACCGGCCAAAAAGACACAGCATCGGCGAGCTATGGGCAAACTCAGGATGCAGTCACTTCAGGCACTGCGAGGGATGCTCTATTGTAGGCGGATGTGTTGCACTGAACTGACAGCCGAAGATGTCAGGCCGGTGCGGCAGGCATTCTACTCGAAAATTTTCGCGGAAAGGACGAAGTGGTGGTTGCAAACCATACATGACTTCACGGTTATGGAAGGTGGTGCTGAGCGGGTCAGGCCTGTAGCTTGCAAACGGAAGATGTGGGTGCAAGCGTACTGTAACATTCTCGACATTTCTCGTAACACATTCTATGTCTATAAAAGGATGTATGATAACGGTGTTGTCGTTAGGGAGCATAGGCACTCAGGTTTGTCTAAACCATCCGAAAAAGTCGTCACGATGCTTGCACTGTTGAAACGGTTCATCGACGACCACGCCGATAGTATGCCAAATGACATGGTCTGGAAAAACGGGGTTAGTCGCCCTCGCCGTAGGATTCCGGCGGCATTCACAAAACGAGCAATTTACAAACATTGCGCTCTGATCTTTTAATGTGCCACTCGGAAGTTGTGTCAGAGTCGACATTCTACGCTATGTGGAGTAAGCACTTCTGGCACGTGAGTCTAGCTATGTCCAACGCATTCACGAAGTGCGCAAAATGTATATTCTACAAGCAGTGCATTGCCAAGTCGAAGTACAAGAGGGACCGTAAAAAATCCAAAGATAGGATGCGGAAACATCAAGAGCTGCAAGTCAACCACAGGCTAGACTATAGCCGCTGCAAAATGGATTCCATCTTGCGGCAGTCCGAGTGTATGTGCATCATTATTGACGGCATGGATCAAAAGAAAACTACCATACCGCATATAGGACAGGCTAACTACTCGAAGGACTTGCACCACGAGAGGATGATGAAGACTGGTCTCACGGCCGTTTTGGTCCATGGCCGGGATCCGTCTATATATGTTTAAACATATTTTCCTTACTACACACACGGTCCCAGCAATACGACGACGTGTTTAATGCGGACTCTTATGAAGAACCAATCCAGTGGGAAACCTCTACCGCCGTTTCTTCGTATTCAAGCTGACAACTGTTTCAAAGAAAATAAGAATAGATTCATCTGCGCGTTGGCAGCACTTCTTGTGAAGTTCGGGATTTTCAAGGAAATAGAAATTGGTTTTATGATAGTTGGACACACGCACACAGACGTCGATGCCACGTTTAGTGTTTTCTCCAAGAAACTCAAGGACAATGATGCCTACACAATGCATGAGTTGTTCCTTTTGCTAGAGCGGTCTCATAAGACTCCTCCACGGTGTATTTTTCTTGAAAGGATAGCAGACTGGAGATGTCTTATTTATCCGCATGTTTCAAAGCGCATGACAGGGATTTCGAAGCCTCATTTGCTGAAATTCTACATGATAGGTGATAATCCCGCCATGTCCTATAAAGAGTATTGCACAGACGCTAAGTGGTTGCACGAGGATGGTCCTCTTTACTGGTTCAAACAAACAGACAACGGTGGTTACGCTGGTCCGCAGCAACCTTTCGATCCTCTGCCGGTCCAACCGGCCTTCCTCAACGATTACAAGAACGGTTTGGAGGGTGTGAAGAGGTTTCTGGAAGTCTATGAAAAAAAAAGAGAAACTTGGATGACTTTCCGAGACGAAGAGGTGACTAAAATAGATAGGGTTTTTCGGTTTTGGGAAGATCACGTCAAACACGCGGGGGACATTATGGACAACGGGGTACCTTCGGCACCCATCACCGAATTCTGGCTAAAGGTCACCCATGTCGTTGAAGACAGGAGTTCTTGCTCTGATTCGGATACATCCGAACTACAGAGAGAACCTCTATTCGTGGGTCTTCAGAGGGACAAGCCTAAGGCCAACTTTGATCCTTTCGAAGATGTGCATGTCGACAGTTTTGTCATTATGCAACCGTCAGACAAGGACATGCATCAAGGAGTGCCTTTTTGGGTTGGCCAGGTTCGCAGTGAAGTTGACAAGAACAAAGATTCGCCAACTTACAACCAATTCAAGGTGGAGTACTCGGTTCCAATCGGAAAAGCGAGCACACTAAGAGAATTGTATGCCGACGCCTGGAAAAAAAAATGGAAAAAAGCTCTAGGGCACGAGGAAGAGTATCAACATGTCACAACCGTTGCGTTTTCTTGGATGAGACAAACGAGGACAAATGTCTGCGAGTCCTCCAAAAAGTTAACCACCGGTTTTGTGATTCCTCTGAAAGTAAGAGAAAATGCAATTCCCGCCCTAGAAAACGGCGTTGGCGCTCAAACACAAAGCGTTTCCGGAGAAGGGAGCGGGCAGGAGGCTACCTCATCGAGAGTGTGATGGTTGTCATCTTTTCGTGAGGAGAACGTATTGCCATGCTGGCCTGTGCACACCACGCTTGACTCCATGGAATACATCACTTAATGATTTGTGCTCTCTGGGTTACGGGCTTCATATCAACAAGAGTTCTTCATCAAGTTTCGACATTGGGCGTGGGGGCGTTTTGGTTGTCGTAGCATGACCTCGGGCTTTCGGTCCTGACTTTGATGTGACGCTTTTATTGTGACTTTTGTATTCTGCAGTGCGCAGACTTTCCTCTTCTGACGTACTTCGAAAACATGGATGAGATTTTGGGCTACATTGAAATAAAAGTACCTAAACGACTGACGATCATCACAAAGGGAAGAGCGTTTCCTTTTCAATATGAGAGAATCTTCAGGATCGTAGCGGGAGGACGGACAATGTTTGTCATCATGGTGAGGTTTATTGATCTCAACATTTTGGACATGTGAATATATGAGCTTCGGGGGAAAAATTGGATGCGAGGAGATTTTACAAGAGCTTATGTAAAAGCTTCAGAAGTTCTTTTCGCCTTGAGACGTGCTGTGCTCGGAGCAGGGGGTGACATTCAGGGTTTCTCGTTTTCCATTAC